CAGGCTTGGGTGGAGGTTCAACTTGTGGTGGAGGCTCATCTTGTAGTGGAGGCACAACTTGTAGTGGAGGCGCTAGAGGTGGTAGCGTAACTGGTGGTAAGATGGGCGGCAATGTTAACTGTTACCGACCTAGTCTTTGATCCTTCTCGAGGTGGGCCCTCTACTACCACACCTCACCCTATTCCTCTAAGACGGGGTCACCCCCTTCCTCGTCTTCCTCTTCCTCTTCTTCGTTCTAGATAAAGTTGCTTAAGTCTTAAGGCCTTAATACTATGCAAACATAAATAAAAATATACATGTTATACAATACATCATAATTCTACATGTCATACATCATATCATACTCATTAATAAATACTTAAAATATACAATGATTTTAGCCATATTAACAAGAAAATGCATGTGAGTTCGAAAACGTTTCTCTTTTCTTATCTTATGCAAGGTGTACCTAATGGTGATAGGGCATCGATGTTGGGACCATGGAGCGTGTCAAGCCTACATCGTAAGCTAGTCTACAAAATCTAAAACCTAGAGCTCTGATACCAACTATAACGACCCTAAATTTCTACATATTCAAAGTCGCCACTAACATCTCATGCTCATCTTCAATGCAGAATATAAATCTAAAATGCTCATCATAAATAGTGGAAAATTTAAAACTTTTGTATTACTTCATACTGATAGAAAACACTGATGGGTTTACGTGTTTCAAAACATCATGGTGGAGTTTAAAATAAGATAAAAAATAAAAAAACAAATTAAATAATTTAAATAAATGAAATGCAAACACCCTATTCTAACCTAACACTAGAAATTTTAAATATGCAGCTATTTGATCGCGATGTCGTCAACCATACATGGGCGCCTTGCCTTTACCTCAAAAACAATATGGCACACGGCCTAAGTATTTCGAATACTCAATAAGTAACCACATCATAGGGGCCATGCTAATGCAAACACATTCAATCATGATTTAGGGACCTATCTCTAAACATCATAAGGGTGACCTTCAGCCTCAAACAATTTAGATGTGTAGTACTTTCTTACACAACTCATACGTAAATAGATGTATAATGGAGAAACCAACCTTTAGACTCTTATTCGTGGTGGAGTGCTCCGAGTAGGATGGATCCGAACTAATTAATTTATTTTTCTATTATAGCAATATATATATATATATATATATATATATATTAAAAAATAATAAATTATAAGACGATATATATTTGTAATCTATCCATAATTTTTTAATTCAAATAAATATGAATAAGTCTAAAAAAAAATACATATATTTATAAGAATTAACCAAAAGAAACTAAGAAATTATACTTAAAACTATAGTGGTTAATTAATAATGTCTAATTAAATTAATAAAAATATTTTTAATTTTTCAAAAGTTTTAACAATATTTTTAAATTTTAAAAAATCTTTATAGCTTTTTAAATAAATTTTAAAATATATTTATGAACTATAAGGTATCGATAAACGATTTTTAATCTATATATTAATGACAATAATTTTTTTTAATTTTCTTTTACAAAGATAAAGAGTGTAACAGCTGCTTTTAAAATTTCATTGGTATTTTTTAAATATAATATTAACAGTAAAGGTATTTTTAAATGATTTAAAAAAATTAGAAAGGTATTAATAAAAAATTTTAAAATTGAAGATTATTTATCCAACACTATTAATAGATTTTTTTTTTAATTTAAGGGTATTAATAAAAAAATTTAAAAGCTTTTAAATTTAAAAATATTACTAAAACTTTTAAAAATTTAAATATATATATAATTTTTTTTTTATTAATTTAGACGTGTTATTACACCCATCCATTGAAATAATCTACCTTTAATAAACTTAATTTTTTTTCTTTTCAAATCCAATGCACCTCTTAAATCATTAATAAATATGAACAACACTCATATTTAAAGGGTTAAAAACAATTCGTATTTGGAAATGACACGACCCATGTCCAGTATTTGAATCAAAATTACTTTAGAATTCGTATTTGGAACCTGATGGTCTCGACATTCCTCTGCATCTCCAACGACATGGTCATGTTACTTACTCTTCACTCACATGTATGCTAGAAAATCCAAGTAAAGCACGCTTAACCATGAAGTTTCTATGATTGAGCCACCGAAAAGGTAAATGTGCCTTGTTCGCTCTCATTTTGACGTGGTCTCGATTCATTTATGTACCACTGCTTTACTTAAGTGTCACTAATTTCTAGAAATTTTTGAACTTTTGACAGCGTGTAAGTTAATAAACTTTCAATATTAAAATGTATAATAGGTTTCTAAACTTTAATGATATATTTCTCTTAATTTTTTTAATATATCATGAATATATATAAAATTAAAAGTTTATTTGATAATATACAAAATTAGATGTCTAATAATTGAATTTGCTTGTAAAAAACCCGTCTTATTATTGTAACAACTCAATTTCACGATTAATGAATATTGTTTATTTTGGCTTGTTACGTATATTCATCAATATCATGGTTTTAAAACGTGTCTGTTAGAGAGAAGTTTCCACACGTTTATACGAATTGTTTCGTTCCCCTACAACCAATGTGGAATTTCACAATCTACTCTCTTGGGGGTCTAACATCCTCGTTGGCACACTGTCCGATAACGGGCTCTGATACTATTTATAACAGTCATAATATTCATTTTGTCCCATTACGTATCGCTATCAGTCTTATAATTTTAAAACGTATCTACTAGGAAAAGGTTTTCACGTCCTTATATGAAATGTTTCGTTTTTCTCTACAACCAACCAACGTGGGATCTCAGGATTGTTTTGGTTGAAATTGTGTTTGTGGAAGTCGTGTATAAATATTAAGACTTAGTCTATTATAATAGAGATATTAATTCCATTAAAAAAATAATTAATTTTATTATTATCTTAATTTAGTTTTTAATTTCTTTACAATAAAAAAAATTGCAAATTTATCCATAACTTTTTTAATTTATTTATTTATAATTTTTATTATCCCAATTTTATCTTCAATCCTGATCTAAATCCCGAGCATGAGTCTGAGTTGTTGTATTATCTATTTGAACATTAGTTGATATACCTTAAAAAGTTAAATTCTATCCTTTCGACCACAAATAAAAGCTACATATTTAGTTATATTTCATTAATATATCAGTAGTATATTTCGATTCGGCAGTTCGATCTATGATTTATCATTCATGGACGTTGATAAGATCCTTCCATTTAGCAGCACCTTAGGATGGCATAGCCTTAAAGTTAAGGGCGAGGTTCAAACGAAGAAAGGCTTACGGTGGATACCTAGGCACCCAGAGACGAGGAAGGGCGTAGTAAGCGACGAAATGCTTCGGGGAGTTGAAAATAAGCGTAGATCCGGAGATTCCCGAATAGGTCAACCTTTCAAACTGCTGCTGAATCCATGAGCAGGCAAGAGACAACCTGGCGAACTGAAACATCTTAGTAGCCAGAGGGAAAGAAAGCAAAAGCGATTCCCGTAGTAGCGGCGAGCGAAATGGGAGCAGCCTAAACCGTGAAAACGGGGTTGTGGGAGAGCAATACAAGCGTCGTGCTGCTAGGCGAAGCGGTGGAGTGCTGCACCCTAGATGGCGAGAGTCCAGTAGCCGAAAGCATCACTAGCTTACGCTCTGACCCGAGTAGTATGGGGCACGTGGAATCCCGTGTGAATCAGCAAGGACCAACTTGCAAGGCTAAATACTCCTGGGTGAACGATGAATGATACTACTCGTTATTATTAGTTTGTGAATAATATATTATCGCTCGTTCATAATTTCTTTAAACTATAATATTATTATATCATACCAATAATGTTTTTATATCATTAACATTACTTTTAAAACTATTATGAAAATTAAAAATATTTGACATGTAACTGATGATAATGATGAGTTGTGACTTCTGAATGTTTGATATTTAAACTCTATGAAATTTTAATAATTAATATAACATGTATCGCATTGCTTGCTTCTGAATGTTTGATATTTAAACTCAATCCAACATATTCGATTTACTCTAGCCACATATAAATTTGGACATTAGAGAAATGGGGTGAATCACCCCGATCTTAATCGCATTGCTTGCTTCCCGCTTGCAAACAGAAACTCCATCTTCAACCTTTATCTCGAAAACATCCCGACAACTCAATCTAACCTAACTCAAAAATAGAAGATTAGGTTTGATTGAGTCGTGAACTCTATTTGAATTACTCGGGTCACTAATCCAAACAACCTAAAAATTTGAATTGGTCCAAAAAAAATTCAATTCAATTCAATATATTCGGTTTACTCGTAGCCACACATATATATATATATATATATATATATATAAATTTGGAAGAAAAAAAAAAAGCAAAAGGCAGCTGGATTCCAAATACCAAGAAGAAAGCAACAATGATATGAACTTCACATGGCAATGTCTTGATCCAAAGAGAATGTGTCATAAAAAAGACAAAACAAATCAAAACAAAACCAAAAGCTTTAAAATAATGGTAGTAAGTTTCCAAGAAACTCTCCATACAATTACGTGCTCATTTAGTGCATCCTTTCACTTCTTCAAATAACCGTAATAGTCCAATTTCACTACTAATAGATATTATCTACTTTGACCCGTTACATATCGACGTCAACCTCATAGTTTTAAAACGTGTCTCTAGGGATAAGTGTAAGATCTCACATTGATCGGAGTGTTGAACGAAACACTCTTTATCAAAGTATAGAAATAAGCTCAAAGAAAATAATATCTGCTAGCTGTAGATTTGGATCATTACAATAGATTTTCACGCCCTTATAAGGAATGCTTGTTCCCCTCTCCAACCAATGTGGAGTTATGTCATGGGAACCTTAAGATCAGTTTATAAGCACTAATTTTAAGTTATAAGTCATTATTTTTATTGTTCAAGTAGTTGTCGAGTGGCACACATAAAAGCTATAAACGAACGAAGAAATTCGAATTTCTAACTTTTCGAACGAGGATCGAGGATATACAACAGCTACCAACCAAAACCAAAAATATTTATTCATCTATCAGAGAAAAGATGGCATCCATGTTACCATGAACCCTTCAGTTCTTTTTGCCTATTTACATGACATACATCCCTAACAACGCTTTGATATATTCACAATTCCACAATGAAATCCCTCAACTAAGTGTATATTTCAGTGTGATTAGAAGCTATGGAGTTTTTTTTGTTCTTCCCATCTCCTAACAACTACAGAACACAACATGCTTGTAGAAACGAGCTCGACGAAATTAAGAATCCATAGATACCTGGTCTCGGCCATCGTGTAGTTGCTCGGAATGATTCGCCAGATCATTTTCGGGAGATGATTCCTTTAAGCAGGCTTTTGGTGTAACATCTTCATTGCCATCGTCGAAATCAGATGCCGAGCTAGCATCGATATACTTGTCCGAACAATCAATTTGCAAGCATTCAACTTCACTATTTTGAGTTTCGGAATCATGGCTCCTATTTGTCAAAGTCAAATCTTCCTTCTTTACGATGTTGAAAACGATCCCATTTGGTTTTCTTTCTGGCTGCAAAAAGTCTCCTTCATTTAAAAGAATGCTCGAAGAAACTCGATTGCTGAGCTCCCGTGTGTCGAAATCTGGGCTCTCTGAACTCCGCTCAGACATGGTTCGAGGACTTTGAGAATTTTGGCTACCACCAATGAGCTGAAACACGTTGGAATTAGCTACCAAACCTTTGTTGAGGTCATCAAGGTCCAAATTCTGAACGAAGTCGATGAACTTATTAGCTGAGGCTGTCCTCATTAATGGCCCACCCGACCTAGTCCAAGTATTCAAATCGATATTTTCGGATTCGCTATCGCTACCCTCAAACATACTACGGTGAGTTCGCAACATTCTACTGGAGGATCCTGCACCTATCGATCCACCAACACCTTGATGGTGTGTCGTCGGAGTATCAGTCAGGTATTCTTCTTCGAGCGAACCAGTTGAGTTTTCTCGTGCTATGCAGTTCCAGGAGGGAATTCTTCTTGAAGCACTGAACTTGACTGGGATCGAAGGGCCATGTGAGGTGGTACCGGTAGCAGCGGCGGCAGCAGCAGCTCTTTCGGCGCTCCTTTTCAGCCGTCGCATATGGTTGAGAATTGTAACGCATTCATCTAGAGCAAGCTCAATGCCACAATTGGCTTTTATTGCTGACAGCTTCTCCCAGGTGCACCTCCTACCTTGGTTGGCCGACTTTTGAAGATCCAAATGCGTAGGATTTTGTATAATTTTTGAGTACTGTAACGAAAAAAAAAAAAAGTCATCAATGCTACATATTCGTCGTTCAAACTCGGTTATGCTAGTAATTATTTGGTCTAACATTGTGCGACCATTCTTATAAGTTGTTGAACTTTGTAGTGTCTTCTAACACGAAAATACCTGAGCAAGGGTAGCGGGCATGACAACGGTGACATCGCCTTCCCAATCTTGAGCAAAAAGCCTTGCAATTCCTCCCAATCGAAAACCGAGCTCCAAAACTTGGTTGCATCTATGCTTCACCTCCATTTCAACAAGATGAGCGAGCTACATAACAATATCATGAAAATTCCGACTGTGAGAAAATTACAAATGATAGAATAGACAAATAACATGCAAATCATAACGCTAAGGATACCTTGAAAATGTCATAAACAGGTTGATTAATTGAAAATGTCACACAGCAGTATATGAGAAGATAAATCAAATTGTCAATGTATTCTATTTCTGACATATATTGAACATTTGGGTTCTTATAAAAAGGGGAAAACTAAGGATATCTTCAATTAAATGTCCAAGCAGCTCATGAGAATCAGAGAACAAACAATTCATTTCCCAACCGTGTAACCGCCCGAGCTCATTACTAGTAGATATTGTCTGCTTTGGCCCGTTATGTATTGCTGTCAGCCTCATGGTTTTAAAATGCATCTTTTAGGGAGAGGTTTCCACACCCTTGAAAGTAATGCTTCGTTTCCCTCTCCAACCGATGTGGGATCTCACAATCTAAGGGGGGTCCAACATCCCCGCTAGCACACTGCCCAGTGTTTGGCTCTGATACCATTAGTAACAACTCAAGGCCACCGCTAGCAGATATTGTCTGCTTTGGTCCATTACATATCGCCGTCAGTCTCACAGTTTTAAAGCGCGTCTTATGTCTCACAGTTTTAAAGCGCGTCTTATAAGAAAGGTTTCCGCACCCTTATAAGGAATGTTTCGTTCCCCTCTCCAACCTATGTGGGATCTCACAATTCACCCCCTTGGGGGCCAGCATCCTTGCTGGCACACTGCCTGGTGTCCGACTTTGATACCTTTTATAACAACTCAAGCCCACCGCTAGCTGACATTGTCCGCTTTGACTTGTTACGTATTGCCATCAGTCTCACAATTTTAAAACGCGTCTTATAGGGAGAAGTTTCCACACCCTTAGAAAGAATGCTTTGTTCCCCTCTTCAACCGATGTGGGATCTCACAAACCGTTACTGTTTTTTGTTTTATTTGGCCCCATACAAAGTTAGCATACTTGTTTTAGACTTGCAACGCAGGAAAATATGGACATTGAAGAAAACTAGTCGGAACAAATACAAAACAAGGTTCCGAGTATAAGTTGGCATACCTTGGCAGCAAAATTTCCACCATAAGCTCTGATGAATTCTTTCATTCGCAATAATGGCGCAATATGGGGATTAGCCTGACTGACAATAAAATGGTTAACATTGAACAATTCTTTCAATTGCATCATTGGTAAATCAATCTCCAAGCTGCCATCTCTCCAGCGACGCGCAGATGTGCCCGAGCCCTCCTCAGGATCCAAATTAAACGGCGGATGATAGGGAACAAGCTCTCCACTCCTGTTCTTGGCCATTAATTCTTGAGCCTCAAAAAGGCCCGGGAATGCACAAGATGCTGTCACAGCACTCCATATCACAACATGAGGAGATGTCAAGTAGTTAAGACATCTAGGCGGCTCGTGCTTCCTGGGAGAACAAACCGTTATCCCAAGAATTCTCCCCGTCATGTCGTAAGCTTCCTGAAAAGTTAGGTTGCTGGTGAGCTGTCTTAACATCATTTGTAATTGTCGAATCTCGTGAACAGCGCCTTGTATCATTACCCTCCTTACCACAGTAAAAATACCACCCATCTGGTCAAAAAACTGTAATGAATGCCATGAATCCTCAAAGAAGCTTTGTAGCTCAGGCCAGGACCTAGTGGCAACCACAGCACACATGATGGATCCCACACTCGAACCAGCAATTATTCTAGGCAAAAGTTTATTCTCTACCAGAGTTTTAACAACTCCTGTATGAAAAGCTCCAAGTGAAGCACCTCCACTTAAGAGTAGAGCAGTCCTCCCGAACGTATGCCTCGTTTCATGCATGAACGCAAGCTTCTCTTCCAATAACAGCTCCTCCGAATCCGAGTCACAAACCAATCTCAACTGAGTCGAAACCTCATTTATGTATTCCTTTATGAGTTTCGGAATTTGAAGCCTACCCTTGTGTAATTCAGGGTTGCACATATTACCAAGATTTCGAAAAAGATCAGCTCTCATCCAAAATATTATATCTCTAAGAGATCCCTCCTGACGTCGACGACGAAGCTCTTGAAGCTTGTTCCTCACCAACTCTACATCATAAAGGTTTGACTCGTTCATTTTCGGAGTCTCTTTATCAAGCATTTTAGCAGCATGAGCCCATTCCTCATAAGTCAAAGCAGATCTCATCATATTTCTCCAAAACTTCCTTCGGTATGCCAATTCGGCCCGCTCTTTGACACTCGTGTACCGTTTCAACAGAAAAGCAATAATCGTCACCATCGCCAATATCCCCTGTGGATTTCTAGGATGCATCCATGATAATATAGGTGCAACAAGGGCCTTAAGTCTATATATGATATGCAGCAATACACGAAATATTTGGTGCCTCAATTGTGACACTGATTTACAAAATAGAATCCTGAAAGCAACTGTTCGACCAACAATGGTTGAAGGCCCAATAGAAAAGGAACCAACACTAGCATCATTACTAATGTCCATAATTCTTAAAAAGGACTGCAATCAATCTCCCACAGACTAGAATTGGTTTATAGCTACGATCAACGGGAACAAAAACTGATCCCCAGATGAATCAAGAGTTAAGAAAGTCTCTAAAATTGCTTCAAATTGAACAGAACACTCAAATTCTTCAGATCTTCAAAATAAATTAACAGGAGAAAACAAAATGATCACCAAATGAGAAGAAGAACAATGTAAATGTCAGAATTAAACCTCAGTATGGCGAAGAACTCCTCAATCTGACCAACAACAACAATGGGATCCTCAAATCCAAACGAAAACCCACTAAGAAACCCAAATTTAACTCGTATAAACGCACAAAGAACACGAATATATCGATCAATGGGAACAAAAACTGAACCCCAGATGAATTAAGAGTGAAGGAAGTCTGTAAAATTGCTTCAAATTCAGCAGAACACTCAAATTCTTCCGACCTTCAAAATAAATCAGCAGGAGAAAACAAAATGATCGCCAAAGGAGAACGATGTAAATGTCAGAACTAAACCTCAGTATGGCGAAGAACTCCTCCTCAAATCCAAACGAAAGCCATTAAGAAACCCTAAATTTAACTAAATCGATCAAGCAACCAGTCGGAGTCTCCGAAAACAAAGAAACTAAATCCCCAAATCAGAAAACGAATCAAACGGATAACAGAAAGAAGAACAAAAGCGGCAATACAATCAGCGAAACAAAAAGAATTGAGTGATCCACAGGAGAACACAAATAAACGAAGAAGTGAAAGCCGAATCGGTTGGAAAAGTATGAAAGTGAGGAGGCGAATCGAAAGAGGGGTTTATTGAGAAACGTGAAGAGGATAACGATAATGATAATGGTGACAACACATCGCGGTGTCTGAATCAGCGATTTGACTGTAGAAGATTCGATGAGGCAAGCAAGAAGATGATGAACAATAAGAAATCATCCCCAAATTACTTCCTTCGGAAGATTTCGCTGAATCTCTGAATTTTGAGATTTCCATATTAAACAAAAAAAAAAAACCTATGGTTTCAATTCAAATTGCGGCTCTTCCGTTCAAGATTTTGTTACATTTTGGTAACTTCATGGTCGAAGGTAAGCTTAAATAAACGGAAAAATAATTAAATTTGACTCCAAATTTGTCCTTTTCAAAATTAAAAGTTTATCCATAAACTTAAGATTTTGATTAGGTACATAAACTTTGGGTAAAATTTAGTTTCGAACACACCTCTCTACAATGGTATTGTTAGACGAACACGACTCTCCACAATGGTATGATATTGTCCACTTTGAGCATAAGCTCTCATGGCTTTGCTTTGGGCTTCCCAAAAGGCCTCATTCCAATGAAGTTAGTATTCCTCACTTATAAACTCATGATCATTCCCTAAATTAGCCGATGTAGGACTTTCATCATCCAACACCTCCCCTCGAACAAAGCACGCCTCCCCTTAATCGAGGCTCGACTCCTTTGGAGTCTTAGTCATTTTTGACTGCCTTCATAGAGGAGGCTTGACTCCTTTTTTCTTTTTTGGAGTCCTTTGTTCGACATTCGAGGATTTGCCAATCTATTGGCACGGCTAAGTTTAAGGCATGGCTCTGATACCATGTTAGACGAACACGACTCTCCACAATGGTATGATATTGTCCACTTTGAGCATAAGCTCTCATGGCTTTGCTTTGGGCTTCCCAAAAGGCCTCATACCAATGGAGTTAGTATTCCTCACTTATAAACCCATGATCATTCCCTAAATTAGCCGATGTGGGACTTTCATCATCCAACACCTCCCCTCGAACAAAGCACGCCTCCCCTTAATCGAGGCTCGACTCCTTTGGAGTCTTAGTCATTTTTGACTGCCTTCATAGAGGAGGCTTGACTCCTTTTTTCTTTTTTGGAGTCCTTTGTTCGACATTCGAGGATTTGCCAATCTATTGGCACGGCTAAGTTTAAGGCATGGCTCTGATACCATGTTAGACGAACACGACTCTCCACAATGGTATGATATTGTCCACTTTGAGCATAAGCTCTCATGGCTTTGCTTTGGGAGCCCAAAAGGCCTCATTCCAATGAAGTTAGTATTCCTCACTTATAAACCCATGATCATTCCCTAAATTAGCCGATGTAGGACTTTCATCATCCAACAGGTATGATATTGTTCACTTTGAGCACAAGCTCTCATGACTTTGTTTTGGGCTTCTCCTAAAGACCTCATACTAAAGAAGTTAGTATTTCTCAACTTATAAACACATGATGGTTATAAGTTGAACCATGCAACATTTAGTCGCCCTAACTCGTCTATCCAAGCTCACCTCCTCACCATGCACCTTGCAACAATGGCAAGGACCCACGGTCGGCGGTTCATCGAGTGGGATAGATCCTTTTTTTTAGAACCAAGTCGATTTGTTAACTGACTATGCGCGACACAACTCATTCGCATCACATCGTGTCGATGAAGCAAGCTTCGACTATAGCGACATTTTTTCATGAGCCCAAGCATGAAGGTGATAGACCAATAGTGATTTTCGGGCAAGGATAACACTTTCGATATTGGTATTTATACGATCTGACGACAAATTTTTTGTCTTAGGTTGAGTTGAATTTTTGAAAAATTGAAAATTTCGATAGGTTCGTGAACTGATAGTTTTTTTGTTGGATAAACTTAACCAACTCGAAAATAGAGCTACAACCCAACCCAACCCAACCCAACCTTACCTGTTTTAAAATTATTATGAAGATAAAAAATATCATATGTTTGTAACCGAATAATAATGTGTTGTGATTTATGAATGTTTGATATTTTAATTATTAATATAACTCCCGTATTTTTTTAAAGTCATTATTTTTATTTTATAATAAAATACAAAGCAAATTCCACGTATAATGATAAAAAGTCCACGTCAGATAAAATCATGGAAACATGAATGGCATCAGAGTTTGTTGCTTGTACGGATGCCAAACGACGTCGTTGTCAATCTTTTTTTTTTTTTTTTTTTTTTTTTTTTTTTTTTTTT